ATCCCCCCTGCTTCGGTACCCCGGGTACAATACTAGCAATGTATATACCCGGATACAAGAGTCAGCATTTTACGGTAGAACAATTTAAAGAATTAGAGTCAAATATTTATCTATATTTTTATAAAAATTTAAATACTTCTAAATGTATTTAAATTAATTACTTTGTTTGAAAATGAATCATCCAGGGCGACCACCAAAAACGCTGTGACGTAGATTATGGCAGTATTGGATTACAATAATGATAACACAATATGCAGTTGAAGAGAGCGAATAAGTAACACTAGCTAATCTTACTTCACAGCGTTTTTGGCTCGGAGCTAGGCCGGCATTAAGCGATAATACAAACCAACTATATTAAAGCAAAATTATCATCTAGCAGCTTTACTTAGTACGTGGGGTACCATTTCATTAGTAAAATTTTGGGTGATTTTGGGAGAAATTTATCAATTCCGGACTATTCCGACCCTAAATTTTGGTCGATCCTTTTTTGATGGTCGCCATGGGTGATTCTCTGAAAACAGGATTGAGTTGGTCCTAAAAAGTTCATGTGAATCGACTCAAGAACCGGATTAGACAAGCTTTTTAACAGCCCTAGCGATACGGGGTGTGAAAATATTAGTATCCAAAAAATAGTACAATAAATTTTAATACGTAAGATCTATATTTTTCAATTAAAGCACTAAATTTAGCATAATACTCAATTAAGTATTAGTCTAATTCTTCATGTATTATTTTCTAATATGTAATAGTCATACAAGCTTTCGTTTATAAATATAGAATCCAGTTTATATCATGCGATCTTAATGTAGTGATCAGGGTATAATAATCATTTCAGGCAAAAAGATTACTTAAAAAGTTTAATAATTTTTGAGTTCTTAATTGCATATTTGAAAGTCATGATTTAATTAGCTTATATTATAATTCGTATAGGCACACTATCAAATGTTTTAAAATCACTTAATTTGATCACTCTTTCTTTTCCGTTTTGTAGTAGGTCCCAATAGAGAGCTATAACTTCCGATTGTGAATTCATTGTTAGCATCCTCCTCTGCCATCCTCTTCAACGATAAATTTCTTAGTTTAGCATCCAACCTCTTTTCATCATTTTTCTTCATTTTCATATTTTTACTGTTAGATGAATTAAGATCAGTTTTGGAATTGCTGGAATTAATATTTGATGGTGCTTCTCGAAGTCCAAACCCCTTTGCAATATGACCAAGATGCAATTTTTTCACATGGAAAATATGTTTTTCTGATGCTGAGTGTGTAGCATACGAACGTATAAACGATGAATATGCTTTTCGTGCTAACATAATACACTAAAAATTAATTTTTGTATTAGTAAATTTAGCTAATAAATGAGCTAGAGCTTAAATTCATTTCTATTACCTTGGTATCAGAATGAACATAATTTTCAAATCCTAACTGAATATCCGTAGCTATTACTTTATAATCCTTATTTTCATTTATAGGCACAAGGTTTTCCAATAATGTTTCTACTTGTACAGGTTCAGCATGTATTTCATGTGATCTTAACACATGAATATACTCGATCTCACTTGGTAGCAAAAACAATATAGCATCTCCTTGTTTTCCTAATCTTGCAGTTCTTCCAACACGATGAACATAATCCTTTAAATCTGTTGGTGGATCATATTGAATGATTTTTGCTACATTAGGAAGATCTAGACCACGCGCCGCAACATCCGTGCAAAACAGTACTCCAGATTTTGACTTGCTGAATTCATCAAATGTTGTTGTACGATCTCGTTGCAATAAATCACCATGTAATTTAAAAAGCCTTACATTTGGAATCATCGTGCTCAGAGAACGTAGTTCCTTCGATTTAGAATTCGATTCTCCATGATATTCTTCAACAGTGTCCATATTCAATTTAATAACATTTTCCGAAATATTACTTGTCTTGCCTTTTTGAAAATTTCCGGAATTTACAAACAGATCGAAATGAAAATCTACAGTGTCACAACATGAAAAAAAAACAATCACCTTATGGTTCATTGTATTTTTATTATTTTCAACATTGAATATTGATTTCAAGATTGCAGTCAGAGTTACTAATCGTAATTTTGCGGGAGTTATCACATAAGTCTGCTTCAGCTGATTAGGAGTTGAATACATTTGTCCTTTAGAAACATCATTTCCTCTAACATATACAGGATTACTTAAACTATAACCAACTAATCGCTTAACATCATCTTTAAGCGTAGCTGAGCAAAGAATAGTCTGACGTTTTTTTGGCCAAATCGGAGAATTCAATAAATTATTTTTTAATTTATTCACACTTTCTTTTCGATCATCTAAAATGTTCAAGATTTTTTGAAGAGTTTCTTCGAATCCTAATTCCAAAAGACGATCGGCTTCATCAAGTACTAGCCAACGCAAATGGTCTACAACAAATGATTTTGTATTTGATAAGTGATCTAATAATCTACCGGGTGTACAGACCAAAATATTTATCCCTTTACGAAGCCTTGCTTTCTCTGATTGCTTTTTTTCACCACCTATAACGGAACCAGGAACTATCCAATGAGTCAGATGCCGATCACTAAGTCTTGATGGTGGTAGATTTATCAAAGACTCCAGAACTGAAAGAATTTGTTTCGCCAATTCTCGTGTAGGTGTTAAAATTATAGCAAGAGTGCCAATAGAACGTGATAAGGGTGATCTTGTTGTCGGATTGTCA